TTCCAGAGTTACTCCCGAAAGTCCTGCGCAGTCTGCACATTGCGATATGCAAAGGTTTATTCTCAGCCATCTTTCTCCTAGTCATCCTCTGTGCCCGCCAGTGGCATTTGCTGCTGTCTGCACGTGAAATGCTCTCCTACTCTGGTTTGGACAAAGTACGCTGGTCTCATTCTTCCCGCCTCCACCCCACTTGGCTTTCTCCTCAGTCGTCTTTTCTGCCTTATGCTGCTCCCCCAAAGGTTCTCATCATTCTGGGACTCTCTTTTCTCCAAATCTTCTTCTTCATAGATGCTCTGTCCACACCCACTTTCCAGCTTTTAACCTTAAAGAGACGCCCAATTCCACATTTCTAGTTCAAAGTACCATCTGGACACCCCACCGCCCTCTGTAATTACCATCAGCATGGGCAACTTCACGTGTCCAAAACCAAGTGGATTTTCCTTGCTGGAAAAGATTTTCCTCCTTCTCATGGATGAGTTTCCACTGCTGGACTTCTGGTTACCTAGGCTCACACCTCAGAGGGATCTTTGGGTGCCTCCATCCTTCACTGAGCAGTAGCCAAGGGCTACTAATTTTTTATCTACAATATTTCACATTAGTTTTATTTCTCTTGCGTGTCATTCTTTTAGCTCAGACGCGTATGTGTTTTTTGGATCATGGCTGTCAAACCTAATGTTCCTAAAAATCACCTTTTGATAATGCAGATTCTGGTGTGGGACCCAGTGTTCTGTATTTCTAGTGAGCTACCAGGTGATGCTGATGCTGCTAATCCCCGGACTACACTTTGAGTAACGAGGTTCTAGGTTAATTATTACAACAGTCTCAGAAGTGATTCTCCCTAAACCAGTGGTTCTAAACATATGATCCTCAGACAAGCAACTTTAACATCACTTGGAAACTTCTTGGAAATGCAAATTCTTGGCCAGTTCCAGCCCTACCCAATCAGAAACTCTCTGAATAAGCCATCCAGGTGATGTCCAGATGATTCTAATGCATGCTGAGTCTGAGACTCACTTATCTAGATCTTACCTTTATAGCCATCACACACACCCACACCCCAGAATCTTTGCAACAATGTTGTAAATGCTTTTTTAGTGTTTCCGCAATATGGCTTTCTTCTTTTTGTCTGTTTGTTTGTTCATTTATTTACAGACAAGATCTCACTATGTTGCTTAGGCTCCTCTCCACCTCCTGGACTCAAGTGATTCTCTCACCTCAGCCTCCCCAGTAGCTGGGACTACAGGCATGTGTCACCACACCTGTCACAATACAGCTTTCAAGGGCCTCAAGCTTTGTCCCTAGTGGACTTCTCTCTTTCTCCATCCTCCTCCTCTTCCTAATTTTGGAGTGAAATTTATTGCATCTTGTTGTCTATTCATTCCCTGTCCTTCCTCCATCTTCTCCTTCACTTGTTTCTTTTTCCTGAAGCACCCCCATGATTGCTCATTGGAAACTTCTCCACTCCTTACGTCTTGCCAGACACCATCTCTGCTGTCTCGTATTCCTCAGGTCACTCAGCTAGGAGTGCATCTTTTCCCTTCCTTACACTCAGCTGTGGTTAGCATATTGTGCATTGCACTAGACTAGTGGTTTTCAACTGGGGCCGATTTTGCCCCCGGGGACATTTGCTTATACCTGGAGATGGGTTTGAATGTCACAGCTGCAGGTGGTGGTTCTGTAAGCAACAAGTGGGTAGAGGCCAAGGATGTTGATAAATATCCTAGAATGCATAGGAAAGCATTTCACACCACCCCCAAACAATTATTCAGCCCAAAAAGTCAGTAATGTATTGGTCGAGAAGCCCTGCAGTAGAGCAATAGTGTATGTTGTATTTTCTCTGAGATTGTTGTCAGCACCACCCTGGGGTTATGTCTTTGTCATGCATGCAAGTTCCAGTACAGAGAACCCGGTGCTTCATAATGTCTTCATTTTCTTGAGAAACTGAGCAATCAAATATTGTAAAGTTTAAAAATGTGTGATTTTTATGTGGTTATTGTTGAAGATTATGTCAAGAATTCCATTGTCTTACTAAGGCCCGAATTTGACTTAAAACTCCACTTTCGTTATTACCTAGTGTGCTTAGGGAGTTGGGGGTGGGTCTTATTTCTTCTTTATCCTTCGTGGCTGATGAGGCTTTAGGTGCAGACAAGTTACTCTTGATGGAACTGATGAAGAGGCGGAGGGTCAAGTGCCTGCTTTGCTAGTTCGGAACTGGGTATTACAACAGGGGTTTCATTAGAAAGCTTCTATCTGGAAAAAACATGCATGGGCCCCCTGGTTGGGCGTGTTCTAGCTGTTGTTTGCAAGCAACTGGAGGTCTTGTTCTCTTTGCTTTGTACAGCCAAGCACCGTCACGGACACCCAGAAGTCTCATTCCTATGTATCTACAGGTTACAAAGCGATATGCTGCCTTGCGATGAGGTGGTGTGCACGAGGCTCTCTTGCCCACAGGGACCTCTCTGCAGGATGGAGACCAGCACACTTTAATGTAGATTCTGATCTGAAACGCACCACAGGAAGGGAACTGGTTCTGAGAGCCGAACCAGGCTTTAATAACTCACAAGTCCAGTTCTGTTATTAAGCACTTGGGTACAAGTTCGTCTGTGTGAATCCCTTGGGGCAAACTGAACTCAGAAATTTTCAGATTTTAGAAGGTAATCTGGGTGTGCACCACAAACTCCATAACACGCTCAGCAGAGTCTAGGCAGGACCTGGTAGTCAATGCACCATGTGTGAGAAATATCAGAGGAGTCTCATGAGGTCAGAGAAGCGAAGACCATTCATAGCTTGGAGTTTATTCAGGTCAGGTTTTGCTACCAAGTGCACTACAAGGTGGTTTTGTTTGTTTTTGGTTTCGGAGATTTGGGGATTTTAGAGAGACCCAGGGATACAAGGCTGCTGGTAAGAAGATCAGGTTGGTCTTGATGAGATGGTTGCCCAGCATGAGTTTCTATTATAATCTTGTTTCGACCACAGTGTAGAAATGAAATGTCAGGTGCGGAGTGGAGCTATGGGGCCTTAGGGGAAATGTTGCCGTGGAAAATCCTGCTACATGTCAGCAGTCTCCGGCATGTCAGCAGCCTCTGGCCTGCAATGCACAGATCTCTAAAGCACCCCCTGGGCTCCCCTGATTGCTGGCTTATTTTTTCTCTGTCACACAGAGGTTCCTTTGGTCTTGAGATAAAGATCAGGTTTCTGTGAACCGACTGGCTGCAGCCTTTCTTCTGCCGTCGGAGGTGGAGGTGGGCTGAGGTGTCTGGAGTGTCCTATTTCGTGGGTAAGAGACCCCAACAGCCTGGATGAACACTTTTGTAAACAGCATTTTGTCAGACAAGAGCCATGTTCGTTTCCCTGTTGCCGTGTGAGTGAGAATACCGTGTCTTCAGACAGTCAGACCTCACTTCTCGGGGGCACAGTTCTCAGAGACGAAGGGGACAGTATCAGACATTAAAAAGGAGCTGAAGAGAAACAAGACATACCAAATACATGGAGATTTTTTTTTTTTTTCTACTGAGTTTAAACACTGCTTTCTTTAAACAGCAGCTTTCCATAATGCACAAGTCTTATTAATATGAACCAGGTCATTGTTGGTTAACCTTCACCTAGGTTAGCTCCAAATATGTGACATCTTATGTCACCCTGATTCTTCTAAACCTGATATTTTATTGCCTAACGCATGCCTCTTAATGAGGATCATAGCATTAATGTGTGATAATACAAAGATCTTATGTTTAAATGCTACCGTTATCCATAATGGTACAAGGGTATAGGGATTGTTCCTTAATCAGTCCCTGGTGACCATCACTCTCAAGTAAAAAAAAATGGGGAGGGACTGGATTGTACATCCTATTAAGTGCAATGGGTTTTTATGGTCTACCACAGGGACTGAACAGAAAAAGAAATTTCCTTGCTTCCCCCCTTTCCTCTGAATAATACCATTCCCATCTCTGTAGGAAAATTCAGGGTCTGGAGGCTCTTGTAGATGCAAGACACAGCCACTTGTGGGAGGGGGCCTTACTTTCAGGACAATGAAAGCCAAAACAAAGGTTTCTTGTCACTTGGGGCTTTTATCCAGTATATCCCACGTTACAAACAATAAATCACTGGCTGACCAACCTTCTCTGCCAAGGGAACCTGTGGGGGCTTTAGGCTATTTCATAGTTCAAGTAAGACCCCATCTATCGACTTATCTACCTTCATCTACCTATCCATCCACTGTCTATCATCTATCTATAGCTATCTATCATCTATTTGTCATCTCTCTCTCTGTCTACATCTATCCTCAATCTATTTGTATATGTGCATAAAAAGGAAAAAAGGACTGGCTTGAATAACTACAAACACTTCTAAATTTTTCCCGCTATCTCTACTTCTGATGCTGGAGGCTCCTAGCTGAGTCAGCTACTCACAGCCTGGCACAATGTGCTCTCAAAGAATTATGGGATGCAAAGACATCCATGCTCTTCAAGAGTCGCAAATATAGGGCACGCATTGAGACTCAAAAATCATAAAGAAAATATAAAGTTTGTACTAGGAGGAGGAATTTCATAGCACATTAATTCTGTGGCACAACTCCAACCAGAGAATGAGTCCTATTGCTTCCTTCTGGAAAGGTTAAGCCAGCCCTTACATTATAGGGAAGTCATATCCATATCACAGTCTCTTTACTGTTGCATCGTATGATACAGATGAAGTGGAAACCTTGTCTTCAATGCGCCATGTTTCTGTCTCTCTAGAGGGGCTGAAGCATTCCTGTGAGGGAACCCAGAAATGTTGAGTCCTGTATGTCCAACTAGAAAACAAGTCATATATACATTTGTGTCTACTGCTCTATTCTGAAAGTTAACTTTTCATTTCCAAAACTATGTGTGAATCTAGTATCATTTGATTGTTGTTAAATTTGGAGAAAGAACCATTTACTTGAGACTTGGAGCTGAATTAAACTATGTAGAGTGAAGGGAAGCCAGTTTTAAAGGACGATGGCAGCCAATTTCTTTTGTTACTTATGTTTTTATTTTTTCCAAGAACAGTTAACATTTACTAGGCACCTATTGGCCTCAGTCACTTGCATCTAAAGAGCAAAGCTAATTTACCCACGGCCCGTGTTCTTTTAAATGGTTAGCCTTATTTCTTAGCTCTGTTAACCACTATTCTAACGTTAGCTTCAAGTTCAATTTTAATAATCTATGCCATAGTTGTCTACTGCTCCCTGCCACATGAACAAAAAGTTTGGGGGAATAAGGCGAGCAGTTTACATTTTCTGTGGATACTTCAAGTAATTGGCCCCAAAGTGAAATTGAGTTGGCCATGGTTTATCGTGTTCTGAGGGGATAAAATGTGTAAGGAAACGGACCTGTAGAAAGGGTTGATATCCAAGTATGTGTGAATGTGTGAAAATCCTATAACTCCACTTCAACTGGCCTAATATCCTGAGTCACTAGATGGTCAGAAGAATAGATACAGTACAAAAGGAACAAACCGATGTACATTTATACTAAAAAACCAAAAACAAAGTTTGTACAAGATGAACAGCAAATGAAATAGCTTCTATCAAAACAAAATCTCACACAGGTCATTTTTCTAGTATGTGGACATACATACACCCACACACACACAGACACACAAGCAAGAATGTGTATTTTATAAGATATAGGTCCTTGGAAATAGACATTCTTAGCAAATATGGATGACAGATCAATTGTAATTTATTTTCTTTTAACACTGTATCATCATAAAGAAAACTGGTATAAATGAAAAAATCTATTTCAAATATCTACATCTAAAATTTTAGGCAGTGAAAAAGCACTTTGTTGACAAGGAGTGTGGAATGATGTATGTTAATTGTCAGAAACTGCTGAATGCCTTGTTTAGTTGCCACAAACAAATTCACATATCAGAACGAACAATACTGCTAAATACTCCTTTTTTCCTGCTTTTTTTTTTTTTTTTTTGTTAAAACATACTGGGAGAAAGTAAAGAAAAGAAAAACTGGAAATCCATACATCTTTCAAAAGTTCGAAATTGAAGCAATATTTAGAACCATAGATGAGGAAACACGGCGGCATTGGTGTAATATACACAACGCGCTTTTCTTCTTTAATCTGTAATGTACATCAAATACTTTACAACAATGCATTAACAAAAGGCAAGAAACATCTTGCTGTACAGAGGAACCCCAATGCAACTTGAAGCCTAGAGTCACAACGGATGAAGAGAGTAAACAAAGCGTGAGAAGCCGTCCCCCATAGAGTGTGTAAACTATTCTGTGTCTTGTGCTTAACGATAACCCTCACGCCCCACCGGCCCAAATGCCTCGTCTCTCCTCCCATTAGCCACGTTCAGTATAAAGCGCTTCTCGTTACTCTACAGCTCACACTAGAAAGGTGCTGCCCACTGTCATATTTAGGATCACTTTAGCTTTCTACTGATTTCCAAGTTAACTTGCGATTCATTTAGCTTTCTAAAATAGCTCTTAATATTTCCTTACTGGTTATCACAGCCTTCCTACGGAACAGGCTTTAACAAACTAAATTTGCAGAAGAAAAAAAAAATAAAACAGAAAGAAATGTCTTGTGGTATGCATGCACATGCACTGTTCCCGGAGCGCCTGTGCCCCGCTCCTCACACCCAGGAGTCGGGGGAGGCTGGGTAGTGGCTCGTTTCATAGTTCAGTTCACTGTAGGGACGGGCAGCTGAGTAGAAGTCAACGTAGTTGCCGGTGGACTTGAGACCCAGGTGCATGGTGTACTCGCTGGCGGGAGGGCGATGGTGGACCTGGTCCTCGAAGAAGGACTCGTCGTAATTTCTTGTGGAATTCTGAAATGGCTGGTAGGTCTCGTAATCTTTTCTGCTGGGCTCCTGTGGGACTGGCTGTGCTGAAACCTGAACGGGAAAGAAGAGCCACACTGGGTTACTTGGTTTCCCTTGACTCAGCCTCCCTCTTGCCCTGGCACCCAACTCTCCTTCAAAGAAGAGGCTGTGTACATCCAGGCATTCACCACTGTGGCACTGCTCCTCCAAAACTGCCAACTGACATCGGCTTTCTTTTTGAAAACTGACTCCTAGGTCCATGTGCTATCATTCTGCATAATCTTTATCATGGCAAAATATACGTAACATAAAACTGCTTGCTTTAAGAAATGTTGAAGTGTAAGATTAATTAGGTGGCATTAAGAACATTCACAGTGTTGTGCAACCATCACCATCATCCATTTCCACCACTTTTAAAATCATCCCAAACAGAAACTCTGTGCCCATTAAATGTAATTCCTCATCCCCTCTCTCTGGGCCCATGGCAAGCACCATTCTACTTTCTGTCTCTAGAAATCTGCCTAATGTAGGCACTGCATAGAGTACTTGTCCTTGTGTGACTGGCTTCTTTCACTTAGCATAAAGTTTGCATGGTCATCCATGGTGTTGCATATGTCAGACCTTGATCCGTTTTTGTGGCTGAATAATATTCCACTGTGATGTGCATTGCTCCACTGATGAATGCACTGAAGGCCATGACTTCACCTCAATGCAATGTATCAATGTAGCAGAACTGCACTTGCACCCCATGATTGTATCCCTATAAAAATAAAACAGTCCATGGTAGGCACAGACCACATTTTATTTATCCATTCATTCGTTGATGGACGCTTGGGTTATTTCTACCTTTCAGCTGCTGTAAATAATGTTGCAATAAACATTGGTGCATTAGTATCTGTTTTAGTCCCCGGGGTCCCTTTTCAAGCACCTGTTCCTGAAATGAGCAGAACCTCCCAAGGTGAAGGGTGAGGGTAACCCTATAGCAAGTACATAGTGGGATGCACGAAGCTCTGCTAATGGGCAGTAATTGGGGAGGAAGTCTGGTGTGAATTATTAAACACTCTTAAAGAAATACTGTTTGATCACTTTTGGGCGGACTCTGTGACTCCCTATTAATTTAACTAAAGTTCAGCACAGAAATGTCCTCTAGAAATTGGTCTTAGTTAATAGATAATGATTTGTAATTAGCACGTTGTGTGTAAATGAATGCTTTTAACGGCTTACACATAATTCTTCTCTCAAGTAAGTGAAACTCCCTCTTATATATGTCATTGATTTATACTAGTAATCGACCTCATCTTCAAAGAAGTGGTGAACTTCATCACAGCAGCTGTCTAGGATGTCCCACGTGTCTACTTAGTGGTAGCTGAATGGATGAGGTTTCTGTCTACCTAGAGAAGTCCAAAAGTCCATAAGCATAAACCTTTGTTAGCCTGAGAGCTAATAAAGGATGAGAGGAACATTTGGAATGAATGTGCAACATCTGCAATTAAATACTGCTAAGTCCAGGTCTACTGGACTGCGTTGCTAGGTTGGGGTGCCCTTTTCTATTCTTTGAAGAGCTCTGCTCGTGCTCTGCTGAACTCCACTCCAACACAGGGCTGCTTTCCAAGTGCAAGACATGCAAAGGCTCAGAATCTAGAAGTTTGGAAAAATTACATAGGGAGGGAGCTAGATTTGCTGTGTTTCCAGTTCAGCAGGGCACCCTATTCAACATTTAGCAAATTCTTTAATACTCCAGTTGTCATAAATATTTTTGTGTGTTTGTGTCTGTCTACATCAATATCTATGATCTATCATCTGTCTGTTTTCCTATCCACCCACCAATCCACCCGTCCATACATCCCTCCAGCAAACTCCCATCTTATAGATAAGAAAACTTAAGCACAGAGAAGTTAAGAAACTTCTCCAAAATATCGTAGCTAGTGGTGGTGTGAGCTGGAACTGGAACATATGGCTGGCTGACTCTAAAACCCAGGTGTTCTATCAACCTAGCCCAGTCCCATCAGAGCCAAGGCGGCCAAACCTTGGAGGACAGGCCTCAAGGAGCTGACTCCAGGCTCTAAGATAAGAAAGAAAGTTGGTGGACAAAAGAGACCCAGAAGCAGTGTGTTTTCTGATGCATATTTCGGGGGCCAGGGGAGGCAGTGCAGGGGACAGGAATGTCTTCAGGGGCAGTCACTCACAAGGGTTATGAGTTTCCTCCAAAGTGGCTTCTGCTTTCATTTTTTTTTTTTTCTTTTGCACAACCTTGTTCAAATTGCTTTGAGACTGTTGTCATGTTCTCTCTGGTTGGTGAACATTTTGGAGCTGGGTATCAGCTTTTTGAGCCTCTTACCCCAGAGAATTAACTTCTTCCATTCATCTGCACTTTCCATAACCCACACCAATCACTTCTGAGGTTTGGTGCCCAGTCCCAAGAGTGTGTAGAAATGGATTGTCACAGGTGGCATGTGACACTGCTGCACCCGGAGACTGAATTTGCTCACCGGTCTTGTGGTATGGATGTCTGCTGGTGAAACCCATCTGCGGTGGAGGAATACTGGCTGCATTTTAAACTTTAAGAGAATATCTGACAGTGTTGAAAATCTGGCTGATGAAATGACCCCTCCCAAAGCCCTCCCCACATAAGAGCTAAAAATAAATGCATTAAAAATTGCACAGTTTGCATCAGCCAGATTTGGGATGAGGGAAGTAGAATGATGCCCCAATACAGCAGTGGGGATTTCTGAATCTGGGTGTCTGTTATGGTCTAGAGAAGCCCAGGAACACGCAAGCCGGAAGCTTTTGCCTTCTTTGCCTTAACGCTGCATCTTGTTTTGAAAGGGGCTATGACCAGCAGCTCACTCCAGGGTCAATGTGCCCACACTCTCTGCACTCCGTTCCGTGGCTTCTGTTTCTACCAAGTTATCTTTGCTGAATTTTTTCCTCAACAGTAGAATGTTCACTCTAAATTATGAAGGACAGTGTCGTGACACCTTCCAACTCTGTTAGCATAATGACAAAAGACTTATATGGATTTATTCCTTAACAAATTTGCCAGGAAACTGGATTTATTTTGAACACAAGGTGAACACTAGCCCAGTACAGATCTTCAAACTTTTCCATGTCTCAGAGTGTTCATAGAAAGACTCAGAGTGTTCACAGAAAATGAAGGAGGCCAGATACTAAGTATCAGTGGTTCTCAAAGCATGATCCCAAGACGAGCAGCATCAGCATCACCTGGAAACTTGTTAGAAATACAGATTACTGGGCCCCACTCCAGAGCTACTGAATCAGGGCCTCTGGGGAGGGGCTCCAGCAATCTGTGCTTTAACAACCCTTTGGGGAATTCTGGCTCATGCTCCAATTTGAGAACCACTGGCACAGAGGTGAAAAAATGGGACAGGAAGACAGAAGAACCAGGATGAGTGTTTGCCTCTTCCTGCCTGGGGGACTGAAGGAAACACGTATGCTCCTGGGATCTCCTCTTCCTCCTTTCTGCGGACAGTTACAACTGGGCTGCTCACGTGACAGTGGAACTAAGGACACCAGGAGGGAACCCAAGATTCTGGTTTTGTTATCATTTAAATATTGGTCATCAAAACAGCAAAGCTCTTTGTTTCTAGTTCCTGAACAAAAATCCTGTTGTCAGCTAGATAGATACCGTTCAATATGATATTTCTCTTTATAAGTATGGGGTGGACTGGTAGAAGCTCAAAAGGATTTTTGGAAAGTATGCATAGTTAAGACTTTTTTGTTTTTTTTTTCTTTGAGACAGGGTCTCACTTTGTCACCCAGGCTGGAGTGCAGTGGCACACTCATGGCTCATTGTAGCCTCCACCTTCCAGGTTCAAGCCATCCTCCTGCCTTAGCATCCCAGGTAGCTGGGACTATAGGCACACACCACCATGCCCAGCTAATTTTTGTATTTTTTGTAGACACATGGTTTTGCTATGTTGCCCAAGCTGGTCTTGAACTACTGAACTCAAGCGATCTGCCTGCCTCGGTCTCCCAAAATGCTAGGATTACAGGTATTAGCCATGGCGCCCAGTCAGTGAAGTCTAAAGTGATGTCTGTAACCCGCTGACCTCAGACATTCAAACCAAAGATCACAAACTGTGTTTTATACCACTGAGGGTTTCTTCTAGGAGGCTTTAAGCTGAGAGTTTGCTGAAAATGTGCCTGAGTCCCAGGTAGTCACAGGAGCAGCACCCATGTGTGGCCATGTGTCTGCTGCAGGCGTCTCTTTCTCAGTTCTCACTATCTTTTGCCTTATCTTGGAGATCCACTTGAAACTGATTTCCCTCCATGAATCGCTTCCCCATAAGCTCAGTCGCTGTCCAGTGTGAAGCCTGTGAGACCCGGCCGGTGACTGAGGCACCCGGGAGACAGGAACACTCAGCAGAGGACAAGCTTCGATGCTGAAACTGACCAAACCCTGGAGCATCCCTCCTGGTGAAACTGTTGCAGGCGCGAAGTTCTGGGGTAACTCGTCACCAGGGAAGCTCCCGACATGGAAGCATTCCACCTAGAATGGTTGGCTACACCTCTATGGCCAGAGAATCCAAGTCAGGGATACTGTTTATGAGTCCTCTCTAGGACTTCCAACCGGAAGAGAGTGAAAACGTGTCTTTTGAAGGGTTAGGATGGTTGCACTTTATTGAGTCCCCAAGAGAGAAAGCTGCAAGTCAAGACAAGGTTTATTCCTATAACTTAGTCCAAAATAAGTAAAATGCTTTCTTTCCTCCTCTCCAAGTTCATTGGAGTATCATTATGATTTCTTTGGAAATATTTTTTTTTTGGGGGGGAACCCTCTCTTCGTTGGACATTTAAAAATGTTGTTGGATGTTAGGCTAAGATAGAATGATCCAATCATTCATTTCCCTTGGCTGGTGCCTCACAGGGAATGATGGTGGTCCTGAGCTGTGAAGACAGGACGCAGCTCTGCCAGGGGCCTGCCTGCAATGCCTCGGTCCTGACGAGAGGTGTGGAGCTTGCTCTCCATTCAGGGTGGATTTTAGCAACATTTGCCTGAACCTCAGCGGCCTTGGTGTTCCACTCTGAGACTGAGTCAAGCACATTCTGGGGACCTCTGGGAGAAAGGCTATGGCTAGGTTGTGTTCACACTCATGGCAAGGATGCCATCTTAGCATATTAATTCTCATTTGCTTAAATGCTCAGGATATGCCTAGGTAAAAGAACGTGCCCCTTAGAGCCATTATGGACTGTCCCCTAAATCTAGATGGCAAGCAGTGTTTTGGAACCTACTGCGGCCACTCTGTGAGATGTCAAAGACCCCTGGCCATGTCAGGGCGTTTCTTCAATGCCAACTCCTGGGAGAGGAAGGCTGGTGCAGAGGGAACTGGTTCTGGTGAGGAGCTTCTCTCTACCTGGGGGAACTTGAGATGAATCTTACATTCTTGGCGGCAAAATCATGGTCCTATTACAACCCGACAAGAATCAGTAATAACTGGCAATAGTCTGCTTACTGTACATCCAGAATTTCATAATATTTGCTGCAAGAGGCATGGTTGATTTCCATAAATGAAGTTGGCATTTCTAATACATTTTGTTTCTGTTTGCCTTTACGGAGGCAGGTTGGCAAGTGAACAGTTGGGGCCTCCCTGGTGACCTGGTGTCTACAACTCATGACCCTATTTATTTAGGCATTGGTTTCTTTGCTTTTAGCAAATACTAGAACTGAGAGTAGGCTGACTAGATGTTAGCAACACATCAAATAGGCCATGAGGGCCAAGTTGTTCACCAGGGGGTCACAGACAACACCATATGTTTTCCAGAGTGCTGCACATGGAGTGGGCTGGTGCGCACCGTGGGAAGGAGAGATGTATGAAGTTTCTGATCAACGAGGGAGAACAGACTGTGTCTTTTGGCTTTTATAGTTTCTGCAGAGCCAGAGAAAATGAACCTTCAATAAATGTTTGCTGAATAACACACACTCTCTCTTTCTCTCTCTCAGATTGGTTCCTTAAGAATCTACTGTTCAGATATATAGAGTAAAGGAACAGAACAGAGGCCTTAGAAATAACACTACACATCTACAACCATCTGATCTTTAACAAACCTGACACAAACAAGCAATGGGGAAAAGATTCCCTGTTTAATAAATGTTGTTGGGAAAACTGGCTAGCCATATGCAGAAAACTGAAACTGGACCCCTTTCTTACACCTTATACAAAAGTCAACTCAAGATATATCAAAGACTTAAACATAAAACCTAGGACCATAAAAAATCCTACAAGAAAACCTGGGCAATACCATTCAGGATGTAGGCATGGGCAAAGACTTCATGTATAAAACACCAAAAGCAATGGCAACAAAAGCCAATATTGACAAATGGGATTTAATCAAATTAAAGAGCTTCTGCACAGCAAAATAAACTATCATCAGAGTGAACAGGCAACCTACACAATGGGAGAAAATTTTTGCAATCTATCCATCTGACAAAGGGCTAATATCCAGAATCTACAAAGAACTTAAACAAATTTACAAGAAAAAAACAAACAACCCCATCAAAAGTGGGCAAAGAATATGAACAGACACTTTTCAAAAGAAGGCATTTATGCAGCTAACAGATGTATGAATAAAGCTCATCATCACTGGTCATTAGAGAAGTGCAAATCAAAACCACAGTGAGATACCATCTCACACCAGTTAGAATGTCAATCATTAAAAAGTCAGGAAACAACAGACGCTGGAGAGGATATGGAAAAATAGGAACACTTTTACACTGTTGGTGGGAGTATAAACTAGTTCAACCATTGTGGAAGACAGTGTGTCGATTCCTCAAGGATCTAGAACTAGAAATACCATTTGACCCAGCGATCCCATTACTGGGTATATACCCAAAGGGTTATTAAATCATTCTACTATAAAGACACATGTACGTGTATGTTTATTGTGGCACTATTCACAATAGCAAAGACTTGGAACCAACCCAAATGTCCATCAATGATAGACTGGATAAAGAAAATGTGGCACATATATACCATGGAATACTATGCAGCCACAAAAAAGGATGAGGTCATGTCCTTTGCAGGGACATGGATGAAGCTGAAAACCATGATTCTTAGGAAACTATCACAAGAATAGAAAACCAAACACCACACGTTCTCACTCATAAGTGGGAGTCGAACAATGAGAACACATGGACATAGGGGAATATCACACACTGGAGCCTGTCTGGGGATGGGGGGCTAGGGGAGGGATAACATTAGGAGAAATACCTAATGTAAATGACAGGTTGATGGGTGCAGCAAACCACCATGGCACGTGTATACCTATGTAACAAAACTGCACGTTCTGCACATGTATCCCAGAACTTAAAGTATAATAATAAAACAATAACAATAATAAAAAGAATGTACTGTTCAGTGCTCCTCAAACCTGAATGTGCACACAAGGCCATCTAATTAGAATGCAACTGTGCTGTAGAAAATCTTGAACGGGTTAGGGTTAGGAGCCAGAGAAGACTCTCTCCTGTATTTCTAACAAGATTCCGGGTAACATTGACACTGCTGGTTCCCCAACTAGACTTTGAGTAGCAAGACACTACAATGCATTTAATGTATTGCAGAATAATAGAACTTATTTATGTATTCTGTCTTTTTCAAGTTCTCTACTGAATTTGCTGTGTCTCCTTTATTGGTAGTGATCATGTATAATGAATGCTTCCTTCCTAACGCATTTGCAGGGTTACAGGAGCTACTCGATCTCTGTCCAGTAATTCCTGTCCAGACAATTCCTATTTAGTAACAACATCCTACACTCGTCCATTTGGGGGTTTCTTTTAGTTTTGCACCATAGCAGAATACTTGCTTTCTGCATCAGATGAAGCACAAGGTTCAAAGGCCATTTGCAAATTTGAGGCTGTTCTGCCGAGTCCACCCCACACACACACACACACACACACACACACACACACACACAGACACACACACACATACACACACACACAGACACACACACACATACACACACACACACACATACACACACACACACACACAGACACACCCGTGCTGCAACAGGAGTGAGGAGGGCCTCGGGGGACACTGCCTCCTCTTTCAGTTCTTTATGTTAGTTGGATGAAATTTATGTTTAAAATTCCAGGTTATTTCACATGAGTCACATTGAAAAAGAAATACGAACGTGGTGCATTTCCTTTACCTGGTTGTGTTTGATGTCTTCAGTGGGCGCACCATATGAATTCCTATACAAAGTTGAAATTCCAGTGTTTTGAGCTAAAATTAAAAGGAAAACAAAAGTTTAGCAAAGAAAACAACATCACAAATGAGGAATAGTGGTTACTGGAGCAAGTTCTTGCCCTAACAAAGCTTGTTTTCTTGGGGACCAATCCAAGTAGAAGATATTCTTTGGCCCTGAACACTTCATTTTACATACAGATATTAAAAAAGGAGAACAGTTATTCTAGAAAATCTCCATAGCATGTCAGCCGCTTGCAATAACGCTCACATCGCAGACGGGGTCAGGGCAGGTGCTGCAAACAGATGGTCATTTTGTAAGTTTTATGGCCTTCTTTTCTGGTGAAAACTGGCGGGTAATAAAGGCTTGTCACCTGCACTGAAGCATGCAGGAGTCTGTATTAGCAGCTTAGCTTTTAGCCGGAGAGTGACAAGAATAAAATTTCTAATTTGAGCTCACAGAAGTGCTTGATCATCTTTCAGACAGTTCATTTCTTACAGGCCCAAAAGATGGGCAGGGAGCATCGCTGCATGTCCCCCATGCATCTGGAAGCCTGTGACTTTCGAATCAAACCAGATGCAGAGGGAGGATCCCGCTCTGTTGTCTGGCTTGCCCGTGGTCTAGATGAAAGAGATGAAGGTCTCCTCTAGTTGCTAGCAGCTTCTGAAGGCCCAGAGAGGGGGCCTGTTAGCCCACTTCCTTATGGGAAACCCTTGAAGCTCAAGCCATCCACTCAGACGAAGGGCACAGGCCACCACTCCCTTCACAGCTGCTGAAGGGTCATGGTTCAAGAAATCTTTGGTAGAATGACCATATCACCTAGCAATCCCATTACTGGGTGTATATTCCAAAGAAAGGAAATCAGTATACCAAAAGATATCTGTACTCCCATGTTTATTGCAGCACTGTTCACAATAGCCTAGATGTCGAAGTAACCCAAGTGTCCACCAACAGATGAATGGGTAAAGAAAAGGTAGTATATGTACACAACAGTGTTTGGCCATAAAAAGAATGAAATCCTGGCACTCGCAGCAACACGGATGGAATTGGAGGTGATTCATGTTAAGTGAAACAAGCCAGGCACAGAAAGACAAATATCGTATGTTCTTGCGCATATGTGGAAGCTAAAAAAAAAAAAAAGATCTCATGAAGATGGACAGTAGAATCATGGTTACCAGAGACTCAGAAGCGGAGTTGGGAGAGAGGAATAAGAGGGGATGGTTAATGGGTAAAAAAAATAGTTAGAAGAGAAAAGATCTAGTGTTTCATAGCACAATGGGGCAACCATAATTCACAATAATTTATTGTATATTTCAGAACAACTAGAATAATGGGATTGGAATGTTCCTAATATAAATAATAAATGTTTAAGGTGATGGTATCTTAATTATCCTTATTTGATTATTATACGCTGTATGAAAATCATGATACTTGTATGAAAAAATCACATGTACCCCTTAAGTACAACTATTATGTATTCATAAATTTTTTTTAAAAAAAGCTTTGGAAAATGCTGTCTGTCTAGTGTCAGTGGGGTATAAAACACTCTAAAACTAGGAAGGGCTTGTTTGCTTCCAGTATTTCGGGGATAATGAAGTAGGATCACTCCACCTATAGGCCACAAGAGAAAAGTCAGTATAGCCTTTCAAGGTCTAAGTTCACTCCACCCATGATTTTTTACCTAAGAGTTCATTACAGCTGTGCAATAAAATTCCTCCTGGAGAGTTCAACTTAGAAAGTGAGGGCCAAGAGCCCATTTTTCCATTTTAAAGATCATTCTGCTATCCTCTCTGTTGAATGCATGTCACTCCTGTCTCTGTATTATGGTGCAAACCACCGTCTCTCTCTGGACCATTGCTACCGAATCCTCCTTGAAGACCCAACTTCCACTCTGCCCAGCCCGATTCCTCCATCCATCCTGTTACCAACAGTCAGAATGCTGTCTTTGTAACCCAAGTTGGGGTCTGTCTCTTTCTTTGCTTGGAACGCTCCAATGCTCTTCACCCCGAGATGGCTCTCTCCACTACGGCCATGAGGCCCTGCAAGGTTTGCTTCCTGCCTAACCTCCCAATCGTTTCTCCCTCCTCTCCTCTTGTTAAAGGAGCCCCAGCTTTGCTGACCCTCCTTCCTCAGAGCGGGGAAAACTTGTTTAGCTTCAGCTGGGTTGTCCTTGCTGATCTTTCTCCCTGGAACTTGCTTCCCTCAGACTTTCAATGTCTCCTCCTCCCACGTCAAGTGAAGTAACCCCTGCCGCCTGCACCCCCATCTCATTACCCTGTTCAGTTTCTTCTTCCTACTCAACACAGTGCAGTACCATCTTGCTGGGAACTTGTTCTATTGTTTACCTTATGTACTGTCTGCCTTCCTCTTCCAGAGCAGAAGGCCCATGAGACAGAAACAGTCCGTCCTGCTGTTACCTCTGTATGTATCCTCAGAGCCTGGCACAGCACCTGGCCTCAGTGGACACCCATAGAGTAAGTGCCCCATTTGCTGAATGAATAAATGAGTAAACCTTAGATAAATCTGCCTTCAGAGCTGTAATTTGCTATAGAAAATGTCACTTCAGGGATAAGGTGAAATTTTGTTTTTTTTCTGTTGCTCAGAATTAAATGCACATATTTTTTAGAACATTTGCAATATTGTAGTCTTGGCCTCCCTCCCTGCTGTGAAATCATAAACAGGTTTAAGATTCCTCTTATCAGAGGAATCTTAAAAGCATGAGGCAGAGTTTGTGGCTTCTGAGTCTAGGATGTTAATACTGGAAGTTCTTTCCCCTCACCCATTAAACAAGACCATAGCTGAGACTGAACTACCTTTATGGACGCTTGAGGCAGAGGAATTCACAGAGGCTCCACCCTCATATGGCCCAGCTAATAGTGGACCCACAGAAGGATGCCTTTCTATTTTTCTATCAGCCCTCAAATACCCAATTTCCAACTGAATCAACACCCTGAAAACTAGAATGACTTTCAAAGGCCTAAGAGGCTGGGTGTGGTGGCTCACGCCTGTAATCCCAGCAGTTTGAGAGGCTGACGGGGGAAGATCACTTGATGTCAGGAGTTCAAGACCAGTCTGGCCAACATGGTGAAACCCTGTCTCTACTAAAAATACAAAAATTAGCCAGGCGTGGTGGCAGGCACCTGTAATCCCAGCTACTTGAAACGCTGGCGCAGGAGAATTGCTTGAACCCGGGAGGTGGAGGTTATAGTGAGCTGAGATTGCGCCACTGCACTCCAGCCTGGGCGACAGAGCGAAACTCCGTCTCAAAAATAAATAAATAAATAAATAAATGGCATAAGAAAGACACTGGCAAAAACAAACAGACCATTGGATGAAAGGGTATGTGGGAAGCTCAGACGGGAGGGAAAAACCTCCAGGTGAATTTAAAGGTCAGGTGGTGGAGCTGCTGGGATGATGCAGCCCTTTCTTGAGACAAACTGAACACGTGAGGTTCCCAGGCATCCAGGGCTGCAAGAACTCGCTGCTGAAGCCGGCATGCCTGAATGAACAGCCGACTGGATTTCTCAGGGCTCCCCAGTGGCAGAGAAACACTTAGGAGAGAAGAATTTCAAGAGGCTTCATCCAAGCTAGAAAATGAATCCACAAAAGGAGGGTGGGGGAAGCCTGGAATAAACACCTAGATGGATCTGAACTTCTAAGAGCTCAGAAGAAGAGATGACAGCTCCATCAAAGAGATATTTCCACTTCCAGCCCTCATAGGCTGCATTTTGAGGGTGAAGCTTCCCTTGTTTTCATATCAGAAGGAACGTTTTCTTGGCAGGGAATGAAACAAGGAAGATGGCAGTTTTTCAGGTTATCTTTCAATGCACAGAACTTTCAGTGTCCCGTGGATTTGTTCTTGAACAAGAAAAAGCATTGCTTTTGATGTGGAGGCCACGAGAAATCTGATTTTGCAAGTAAACCCTGGAATGATGGGCATTTGCTAACATCCTGCAGGGTGGGGGTTGGAAACTCAATCTCCCCATCTCTATGTGAAAGACTGGCTTCCACACGGCTTGGCTGGGGACTTACTGATATCACTATTGAAAGTGGCAAACCACCACTATCCTCATTTCTGCTATCCCACCGTCACCTCCATCACCCTCACTACCACCACCACCACCATCATTGTTGTGATAATAACCGGCATTTACACAACACTCATTGGCTTTAGAGGAATTTCCCTATATACACATATTATTCAATAAAGATCTCAATGTTCTTTCTGGCTTGCTACATGATTGATAGTGTACTCCTGAATTGCATTTTTAAGTAAGTTAGAGCAAAGCTGTTTCAGCCTCTAAATAAGTTAGAAGAATTACATATACTGAAATTGTCAAGATCCCTGCCATTTTCTAAGATTAAATCTCAGAAACATAGTAAATTTTAGGCTTCATTTTATTTTGAGTCCAGGGCACAATCATGTGCCATTGGAACTGTTTTGACACAAACACGCACACCCACACCCACACCCACACCTGAAGTCCTTTTGAATGATTCTCTTGAGCAAGAGAGTTAAAGAGAAACGCTAAACTTAATAATAATGCAGTCAATATCACAATGATTCTTTAATCTCAGTGTATCATGCCAGACAGCTGGTGGTGTGGCTATCCAGGGCAATGCTAACTGCACATGGAATTTGGTGTCACGACTAGTTCAGCATAATCAGTACAAATTGGATCCTCTGCCGAATGTCTAGACTCCAGGGACTCAGAATTCAGATTCACAGCTTTCTTGGTTCCTGTTCATCTATGCGGCACCATGTAAGGGGGGGAAGTGACTGTGAATAATAACTTGGAGTCCATGTAATGAGTTAAGTTTTCCCATTCAGGAAACATCTCAGGAGCAGCACTGAGGTGTTCCCTCGTAGGGTCTGCACATGGAGGCAGAATGTGGTCCTGGGGGCAGGGATAAGAAACATCTGTTTATTATACTTTTCTTCATGCAGCTGAGCGGAGTTAACATGGAAAACACTGCCGCTGGGGTAAATGCATTTGCTATTAGGAAAATTTATCTTCGCTGTCCTGGTTTGGAAGGCATTTTAATAAATCATCCAATTTGTCTGCTCTGCTTCCCTGCTGGTCTACACCAAAACACTACTGGAGAACTGCCTCCTGCTCTTCACATTCCTCTCCTAAGAGGGTCTCAGTGTATGCACGGCACCTTTTGCGCCCAGCTTTATGAATGATCTAACCTGGCCTTGTTCTATTAAAGGCTCTTCTTCATAGCCTATTTTCAGCAGGGACCCATCTCCACGCCCATGTGGTAAAGAGGGTGTGGGGTCCCCGTTGAAAGGTCCTCGGGGTTCCAGCGACTCTGCTTTTAAGGTATAACTCCCTCTACAGCCAGAGTCCACGTAGTGCTTCTTGGAGGAGGGCCATCCAGGGAGACGGTGAAGTATGGAGAGTTCGGAGGGGGCTGTGAGTGCCTCAAAAGAGGCATATGCAGAGTGTACAATGTGTACAGAATATACAGTGATTTAAGGGTAAGCCCTGTTATCAGATGGGCTGGGCACAGCACGGTGGAGGGGGCAGAGACGGGCACTCATTGTACCAATTCTGGCCTCCATAGAGTCTTGGCTGATGAGAAAGGAAGGCAATGGGTGTGACTGAGATAGTGAGGGATGATGAGTGTGAAAGATGAATGCCTCCCCAGAGAATCTGCAGTCATCAGCTCTAAGGAAGCTTCTTGTGGGTAAGAGGTTGTATCATGGCAAGAAGGGAAAATATCTCAACAGTAGTTTCATGGGGTTCCCCTTAAATCCTCCTCCTGCCCTTCCTCTTTCCGTCCCCGCCCTCCGCTCCCCCC